TGTATTTCCATAAGTGGGGTAAAACTATGGAATAATTTAAGTGTGGACATAAAAAAATAGTAATAGAATTGATGAGTTTAAACATAAATATAAAGGTATGTGTCAATCAAGATATATGCAAGAACAGGCTTAATGATTAATTAGATGGACAATTGTGGGTGTGGTGTACATTTTGTAACCATTCTTTAGTATATTACTTGTGTGATGTAAGAATGTTAACACTGTTATATTCTTTTTTTAGTATAATATGTGTGTGTGTGTAGAAGTGAATCATTTACTGCTTGCAAGCCAGTGATGGTAAGATGATGTCATGGGGTAGGACTGGATAAGTCTGACTTCTTCCTACTCCATTTAGGCATGTACTAGGTATAAGCAAATTGATATTGGATTATGTGTGTTGTCATATCAACTGTTTTACATGCTTGAAAGAATAAATCAAATCAAATCAAATCAAAAGATGTGATGTTATGCAATGTGTCATTTCTAAAATTTCTGAAAGGTATCTAAAATAGGCTGGAATGCCTCTGACAGGATAGACAAAGCACTCTACAGCACATTAAGTGTCATATGTTGTGTCATACAATCAGATCTGTGATGACGAGGGTTAAAAAAAAATCTATTCAGCCCTCTGGAAGAGAGTGTGTATTGAACAGGTGTTGACCAACAAGGAGTGGGTGTCATAGTTGTGTCATTATTAGCAGTACCCAAACAAAGAAAATACACTGGTACTGAAGGATTGACTTGAGATAAAACACTGATTCGGCTTAGGCTTTTATTCTTAAGTAATATTTTATTAGAATCCAAAAGTTACCCAGGCCACTCTGCCACCCTGTTTCATAATCATGGCTCAAAGAAGTAGATAATACATTATCCACACAAGAGCCCATATTGTAGTGAGTAACAGCAGCACACAGTCTGCAGACTTTACCTGCTGTCAGTGATACCTGTAACATGACTGATCAGGACAAGTGTAGGTGTCTTTTTTATTTATCATGTCTCATGAGCTGCTTTCATGTGTTATTTTGTGCACCTATGTGTACAAGTATTGAACCTACAATAGGTTCATCAGCGATTCCCATCGACCAGCGGAAGCTCTTTCAGCTCAGCAGCCTTTCTCTCATCAGCAGCCTCCCAGAGTAATTTGCTACACAGTGACAAATGAACTATAAAACAAACAGGTTTAAATGCCTACATTTCCTAGGAAATGGTGACCTGTAGTTCAGACAGGTAATTATAGATTACAGCATGATAGATTATAGATGTTTATGTTGCTTTGGAATCGTGGATGTCAAAGTCTGTTAAGTTTAATTAGTTTAAGCATTTATTTTCTGGGAACTGTTTAGAATTTATGTTGTGTGTTTTATTAAAGCCTTTTTCTGTTAAATAGACGGCTGCTTTCAAGTCCTGCACACATTAATCTGGAGTCATAAGTTCACAGTTCACGCTCTAATTGTATGAGCACCCCCCACCCCTTGCTGGATGAGAGCCCCCCACAAAAGACAGTGACCCTCTGTGAAAACACTTTACAAGCAAAAGCACAGAGCTAATACCTTATCTGAGATATCTAACAAAGGACTTTTTACCTTTAATTCTGGCATGTTGACTATCAAGGCTAAAGGCAGTTTACAATCAGGGTCATTGGTGTAGTCCATTGGTACAAGATGTGGAGCCAACTCATGGTATCTTCCATGCAACCTAGAAAAATAAATAAATAAATAAATAAATAAAATAACAGTTTTTTAACAACTGTGATTCTACAGTCAGGATGGAAAGTATTCAGACATTTTGTTATGTTCCAGACTCATCTTAAACGGATTCCGTTTAATCTACACACAATACTCCACAATGATAAAGTGAAAACTGGTTTTTGGAGTGTTTCCATTTCATTATTGTAGAGTATTTTGTGTAGATTAAATGGAATCCATTTAAGATGAATCTGAAACATAACAAAATTTGGAAAACTTGAAAGGGTCTGAATAATTTCCGTACTGACTGTATTATAATTCTTAGAATTAAGAACAGCCAATGCCAATTATTGTCAGGACGCTGATAAACACACAATGTTTATGATAAGCACGATGATAACCACACAATGTCAAGAAAGTCAGAGCTGCTTATCTACAATCCCCATGTCACTCTGTCCTGTGACTAATTCTGTCATATTGTACATCCATTCCCAGAGCAGAGCCATTCATCAGCAGGGACACTGGTCCAAGAAGACAAACTCACTTCAATTAAATAAGATAACCCTGTCACAATGATGGAGTTTCACTGGTGCATCGCAGGAAATGACCGGGTAAACCTACAGTTTTAATGTGAAGGGGTCTGGGTTGTATAGCTTCTGTGACATCCTTAGCTCTGAAATCTCTTTGAATTTTATTGCTATAGCAACTCGTGAAAAACCCTATTACACCCTCTGGTGATGATCAGTTTTGCTCCCCCCGCTGTAGGCCTTGGAATCAAAGACACTTCACTATCGTTGAAGAGGAACATCTACATGCACATGATTTGTTAATGACTGAAAAGTGGGAATGTGCTGTGTACATCTATTCAAGTGTAATCCTTTTTTAATCTGTGATAGCTCTGGTAATTATAGGAGAAAGTAACAGATGCACAACCAGACACACTGTAAATGCCTGCAATAATTTCCAAAACAACCCTTATTATACTCTCTATACATAAGAGCAAAAAATCCCACTTGCCTAGAATCACACAACCCTCATCCTTAGCTAATGTTACACTGCAACGTATTTATTGTCTAACATTTAGACCCTCTTATAATTCCTACTTCGATACTTCAAATATATCTATTAACATTAACAGCCTCCATTAAAAACAAACATTTACAGCAACACGTTAACACATTATTACTACAAACAGCCTGTGCATAGTACATGATACTTATCAGTTATATTGTACCCATGTGCCAAAATTCAGCATTTATAAATTGTTATTTACTACCACATTCCATTTTATATTAAACATTGTAAATAATTCTAATCAGAAGCAAACAATATTCCTTCAAACATCAGAATCAGAATCATATGCCTGTACTCAACAAACACACATGTAACTACACTGTAAAAATAATGTATTAGCTATACAATTCTACCTTACTTTAGGATGGTAGGTCACATTATCAGAATTACACTATACAGACAATATTTCCAAGCAGTGTGCTCTAAGAACTACATCTCAGCTAACAACTATACCGTATAGAACAAGCGGAGAGAAAACAGGGAAATCATGGCTGGTTTGGTAACAAACTTATGGACCAAGCACGTGGTGAAGTATTTGGTTTACAACTGATCGATAGTAAAACTGTCAGCAATGCACCAGAATCAAGAGGTACAGCACGAAAAACTTACCGTAGAATTTCTTTGCGGGTAAAAAATGTACAGTCCTGCAATGATAGATAGATAGATAGATAGATAGATAGATAGATAGATAGATAGATACAAACAACAAACACTTATGGTGGATAAAGGGCTGTGCTGTATGACACATTGTTCAAGGTACAATTACATCTTCTAGGCCTACAAACACTTTAAATGAGACGTATGAGTCATACCGTAGAAAATAACATTATGGTTCTTCTGGAGTCATGTGAACAACCTTTACTGTAAAATGCCAGTCACAGTATCTGATTTCTCTTAAATGGTGATGTGTGTGTGAATGGTGTCACCTGCTGCTTGCATAGGAACAGCGGAACACGATCTATTGTTGTCTGACATGCATGTGTTGGCACACGCATTATCCAACAGCCCGACTAGAGGCCCCTCAGTTTACATTTTCCCATTGTTACCTCTTTGTCTGGACTGTGCTTCTGAGTGTGGGAAGCAGAGTGCATCCAGCTGAGCTCCAGAGACAAGCTGATTAACAGTAAATATAATGTACTTCTAAGAACCCTATAATGAAATCAAAAACAGGCCTAATGGAAGTATTTGGGTTAATGATAACTGTGAGTACTATATATATATAAAACAATAACTGACTAGTCACTAACTAGTCTTCATCATAAAGCCTAAAAGATTGCCTAGTAAAGTGATGTTTATACAGTTATAGCACATCTGAGCTCTGAATTCCTTGGTGAACAAACACAACACTCAAGCTCGGTCAGGTGATGTCTAACTAGGTTTTGCATCTTAAACATTTGATCCTAAAAAAGATAAAATGCAGGCACCCAAGAGGGAAAATAATGACCAAGGCAGAAACAGAAAGCGACAGAATTTTAATAGGGGCTTTTAAAGAGTAGCAGGAGTAACCAGAGAGGCTCTTGAGAACTAAACTGTCGCCTGAGAGTAGAGTTTCATAGAATATAACACTGGCTTGGCATCAATTATTAAGTCCACCCCCCCTAAACCTGTGCACATTAAGATGTGTTTCTTCACGCAAAAACCTGGATTACTGTTCCAGAAAACAAACTCAGATTATAACAAAGGACACTTGATACTAATGTTTGCAATGAAATCAAAACTTTCTTTTCCAACCTAACATAAATAATATCACTATTTAAACTGTGTGGAGTCATAACTGGTGCCGTTTGGAAATCGATTATTACATTCATTAATTGAAACGTAATCACAGACCACTTGTTTGCATTAGATTGAGGTCAAATTTTGTCAAGTCTTATGATTAAACACGACTTTTCTGATTCTAGTTGTGGTCACATAGCCTAAACATGACGCAGGTATAGGCAATGGCATGCAATCTTACCTGGTAGGCATCAAGTTGCTCGTCAGTAAATATTGTTTGTTTATTACCCATCTCAGTCGAGTAGTTTGTTGCGTGTACACATTCACAACACTGAACGTCCGCAGCCTTTTCTCAATGAAAGGCATTTAGGGGGTCTGCGGAGTCACAGTCTCTGTACATGTTAGATTGACGATGTTGCAAACCCTTAAAAGGGTTTACTGGTGTCCTCAAAAGAGATACCCGCCATGACTGAAAAACATAGAGGATGCATAAAAAAAACTGTAAAAGAAAAAGTAAAAGACAGTGTCCGCTTATGTTTGCGCCAGGTGGTTGTCTGCGAAGTGCAAGGTGCGAGAGGGTCTGCTTCTTTACGCACTCAGCTGCTGTCCACCGGAGTCAAGACAGACCAATAGGATCTCAGGTAAATAAATAAATAAATAATTAAATACAGCAACAAATGAATAAATAGTTAAATAAAACCTGCTTTTACAGTAGGTTAAAGTAAATAACATTATTATTGTTGTTTACAAAGGCTTGGTAACTTTAACTCGAGTTACTTGATTCATTTCCATCACTTTGGGCAATATCACAGTCTTAAAAGAATATCTGATTCTGGAAACATTACATTTTTCCAAAATTATAAATGAAATTTTATTGGAATGGCATTTTTGCGGGTCATTTAACATCTGACTGGATTATATTTTACATGCTCATTTATTAACCATTCTGATTTAATTAATATGTACAGTTACAAATTTTGAGTGCTGACAATTATAAATCCACTACAAAACCCCCATAGGTGAATAATTTTATTCGGTGCTGTAATCAGAACAAAACTTTTAAGTGACACAGAACCTGTTGCACGGAAGCAACATAAAACAAAAATAGTGGAACAGCCACGTCTTCGTCTTCCACCGTCCTCTACACAGCGCCGCGTCCCTCTTATCCGGTGCCGGACTGCAGAGGCTGAGGTCCGTCTTATCCGCCTGCGCGCTACTGCAGCACAGCAGAACAGTGAGCGTGTCCTCACCGCACCCCAGGACACATGCCAGTTTCATATTCCCAGTATAACCACTCCCTTGCTAGTCCACTGCACTGGTTATAAACGTCGGCTTTTGTTGCAGTAGGTAGCTTTCTAAGTAGAAAAGTTACCCGCGATGGATTCTAAGCGAGATAAAGACCAAGGTAAGCTGTGATTAATAGCTTGATGCTACGTTGCTAAGCTAGCCCCCTAGCGGCTTATGTTAGCGAGCTGTGGTTTATGCGGTTAACAACGTACCCTTTGGTACACAACATTCTGCGTTTGTCATCAGAGGAAATGGGACAATTAATTAAATAAACCACCCACTTTTACCCGGCAGAATCATCCTCATTGAATCACGCATGACGCTCTTAGGTAACATACAGACAGCTACCACCGTTAGCTATCAACATTTACTGGTGTCTGACTCTCAAGCTCAGCTAAACATCGTCACCTTTATTTTTATGCAGGTGTTATCTTGTACAAGGTATGTGTTTGGTGGCCATCTTTCACCCACCCAGTCCATTTCGCCCATTTAGTGGTGTCATACTTCCCAGTCAGTGAGCTGAAATACAACTTGCATTTAAAGTGAACTGCATAAAGCCCGTGACACAAATCTGAATACCAGGAAAAATAAGGGGGGCAGACCCTGGTATCATTGTCTCTGGTTAACCTGATGAACCTCGTCTTTCAGTTGCCTTGGTTCTCTTCCGGGAGTCAGTGTTTTATGAAAGAGTATTCATTTGTAGTTGGCTGATTCTACCTCAGTAAATTAAACCAAATTAAACTCCCCCAGTTGTTAGTCATGCATTGCAGCAAGCTTACACCTGTGCACATGCAGGAAGCAAATCTGACGTGCTTTTCATTACTCCTTTGTAATGTTTAAGTATGTTTTGTGATTTAACATATAATATTACATGCCAATTCAGTGGTTGCAAAACATCTCAGCTAACAGCTATGCTGTATAGAGCAAGGGGAGAGAAGACAGGGAAATTATGGCTGGTTTGGTGAGAAACCTATGGACCAAGCAAGTGGTGAAGTATTTGGTTTACAACTGATCGATAGTAAAACTGTGAGCAATGCACCAGAATCAAGAGGTACAGCACGAAAAACTTAGAGCAGAATTTCTTTGAGGGTAAAAAAAAATGTACAGTGACAAAAAAAAAAATAAATAAATAAAATCAGCATGTCAAAACACAAACATCAGAAACTGTTATGTTTGATAAAGGGCTGTGCTGTATGACACATTGTTCAAGGCCTACAAACACTTTAAATGAGACATGTGAGTCATACCGTAGAAAATAACATTATGGTTCTTCTGGAGTCATGTGAACAACCTTTACTGTAAAATGCCAGTCACAGTATCTGATTTCTCTTAAATGGTGATGTGTGTGTGAATGGTGTCACCTGCCGCTTGCATAGGAACAGGGGAACACGATCTGTCGTTGTCTGACATGCATGTGTTGGCACACACATTATCCAACAGCCCGACTAGAAGTAATATAGAAGAAGTATGTTGGCTGCATATGTAAGAATAGAAAAGTGAATGTGCTTTGTCATGCTGCAGTCTTGTTTCTTTGATTCTTTTAGATGCAGAATTTGAGAAGATAACCCCTGTCCTGCTCAAGTCACGTACGGGAGAGTTCGATTTGGAGTCAATATTATTTCTGAAATTGAGAGGTCTTGGTAAGATGACATTAATATATATCAGTATTTATGTCTTTGAAAATGCTTTATTGTTACATTTTTAATACATGTCTTATAGGTATACATGATCTTGGATGCATTGGAGAATGTATCAATGTGGAGAGACTGGACCTCTCTGGAAATAATATTGCAAATTTAGCTCCTCTAGCATCTCTTCGGCTTCTTTCTGTGCTTAGTTTGTCTGCGAACAGGATCTCCAATTTAGGTAAGATTTCGGGAGCAGTACAGTATTTTCATGCTGTATATTCACTTATTAAGGAAGTCTTTGTCATGAATGCAATTGGATTTAAAAATATATATATATTATTGTGTTTGCAATTTCAGAGCCCCTGCGCAGTTGTGACAGTTTACAGAACTTAAACATGGCTGGTAATATCATACCCAGGTAACACCGTATAGCCACTGACCAAATGCTTACTCTAGATAAATAACAAATTACAGTGTTGATTTCACAATGTACAATCAAATGTCATATTAAAAAATATTTTGTTACTCCAAAATATATTTTTAAAAGCAATATTCTGAATTAGTCCTGTAACATGGCCTTATATGATGTATTTTTCAACAGCATTGAGAGCCTTCACTGCCTTCAGTCTTTGAGAAAGCTTGAAAATATACGTCTTAAAGACAACACTTACAATTACACTAATCCAGGTAATTTGTAGTGACAAACACTCCATGGGACTGTATCACAAAGTGAGTTCAGCTTATTCTGGCCCTCTTGGGGTTTTCTAGCTTCACTGAGCGTAACATTGGCTGTCCTGGATAACCGGTACCACGAAGCTGGTTATCCACTGGCTCTGTTAAATCTGGGTTTTCCTACCGGGCTACAAGCGCATTCATGTGAAAGAGGCAGAGTTGTTATTGAGAAGCGACAGCAACAGCACCACGAATGAAGTAGGCCTCTGATCCTGTCAGGATTCAGTAGGACGTTTTTCCAGTTATCTGATTGGTTGGTGCTCAGGGTTTTGATCCGATACTCTGAAGTTAACCTGGTCCGCAGCAGGTTAGCCATGAAACATACGTTACTGTGGTGATCTAGCCTGATTTACAAGTCAGCCAGCTTCATGGTACTGGAAAACCTGAGCTGAGCCCAAAGTTATCTGGATAAACCACTAACCTTGCTTCGTGGTACAGGCCCAGGTAGATGGAAAATCTTGATAAGTGAAATCACAACAGCTTTCTCTGTTAGGAATGCATCATATAGAACCATAGTTCTTGAGATGTTCCCCAACCTCAAGGTACTGGATGGTAAGATTTTTTTTTAAATTTTCATTCAGCCTTCTGCATAGGATTAACGCTCAGACATATTTGTTTCCAACGGTCTATTTATTTGTTTTCTGTTTTAACCTGTAGGTGAAAGAGTGGTTGGACGTGGGAGTGACTTGTACCAGTTATGCAAAGACATTGATGACACCATCAAAGGTACATTTGTTAGCCAGTATGTTAGTGTATAATGTTTGCAGCTTATCTCAGTCAATTTGCCAAATTAAGATGTTCCACTGGCACTTCAGGAATCTCTGTGATGTGTTCTTGGTCAAGTAAAATGTTACTGCATAGGCACTATGATAATGCAGTAAATTTGTTTTTCATTCTATGAATGTTTAGCTGGTTTATACAAGAATGGACAGCTTATTGAACATCCTGATTGCAAGCCATGGGTGGAAGATAGTTACTGGGAGATAAAGAGATCAAACAGTGCTATTATTGAAGAAGCCTACAAACAATTTAATGGTAAGGTTTTAAAGAAAAGTGTTGCATTTGATCTAAATAGTTGTCAGCTCAACTGCATTGTGTTTACAGCATGTAATCATTGTCTTCTATTTCTCTTTCTACAGATGTTCTTCATGAATGCAGGCTCCTCAACAACAGAGCCATTCATGTCATTTCACAAACCGAGCGATCTATGAGCCTGAAGAAGCAGCCAAAGCAGTATGCCATCTGAGTTGGGCTAATTTGGTCACATTTGTGTGCAACATTTGGCAACTTTTTTGTTGTATGATATACATGGCTAATGTACTGTAGGTTTTGCAAAGTACTAAGCTGTATCCAAATGCTTGATAATTATCATTGCCAGACATGCTCTGTGTTGCAGTGTGAGGCATTTCTTCACATTTTATTGCACCCTATGCATTGGGTATCTTATGATACATGCAAGTGGTTTGAAAACCTTTATCCATGCTGACATCCCTCAGTTTGGTTCAGAGATGTCTTTACTTGCACAGTGTGCATTTTTGTACCATGTTGTAGCCTGCATTTATGCTAAGAGCTATGCTGCTTAAGAATTTCTATAGGTTTTCTGTGAATAAGAGCTTTTTTAATTTTGCATTGCTGGATAATTTTGGGAGTTTATGTACCCCAACCGTTGCCCTTTCTTTGTAAGGTGAACATTTGCAAAATGTGATAAATTGTTTCAGCCATTTCTACTTGTTTTATACCATAAAATTTATTTTATGTACAATTCAACTTGTGGAAAATGTAGTTCTTACAGTGATGGAAAGTGAACTTCACATCTATGATTTTACTCATCTGCACAGTCTATTGTAATACTGGTACATAGGCTACCACACACTGCCACACACTGCACATCAAGAGCCAAGCAACACATGATGTGGGCTATAAGCAATCCATAGATGTCACATCTCAGAAGCAGTCAACCTGCGCCACTTGCTGGTGATAATCATCCAGCGCACCTGTCTGAGCCACTTAGTGTACAATATGTGATAGGCCACCTAGGGGGAAAAGTCCACCAATATGTAGGTTGTACTACAGAAAGGTTTAGCTACTTTTAGCGTAGGCTACATAGCCTAACGCATGTTTACAGACTACATCTTATAGTCTATTATAATTTAGTTCTGGACATACTTGTGATAAGTTGCTTAAATCTGTGCAAATATTCTGGGAGCTGCATTTTTATTTCTGCTTCACATAAAGTGTCTAAAAAAACCCGTGACTCACGGCACTTTTTATAACTTAGTCCACATATGGCCAGAGGACCTTGCAGCCTCCTCCCCTTCCGTTCCGCTCTTGTCTAGACTCCGCAGTCACGTCCAGCGACACATCCGGGCCTCTTTCTCAGAGCTCTCCAGAAAGTTCTGAGCTGTGGATCCTATATAAGAGCCAGACACCTTTCGTCCTCGACCGCTGAGTAACTTCAGTGAAAGCCAGCACATCGGTAATATCTGACAAGGAAGTAAGCGATTTTTTAAAAATGTAATTTAGAAGGATATTTAGCCATACAATTAATAAATGCTAGCGGTTTCATTCAAGCTAAAGGTAATATAAGCTAGTATGTGGCTGACACGAGTTGTCGTTTAACAGCACGTGTCGCTTATGGCAACGTTAACATTATGTGTTTAATACTGTAGCCATCAGTAAGCTTAACGTTTTCTTTTCTTTATAAATATCTCTAAGATAAGTGGACGTTCGGGTTATTATTACTTTATTATGGTATTATGAGAAAGCGCTATAGCAAGGTTTTTGTAGCTAAGTTAAATTACATCTAGCTAACTTGGGTAATACATCGGGTCCTAACGTTAACGTCACTGGCAAAATAGTAAGTGGCATTTTATCTAAAAAAAAAAGTTTATGTGTTTCTGATTAGATTTTAGGTTGTCAACATGGTTCACGAAACCGGCTACTACGACCTCTTGGGTGTCAGCCCCAAAGCCTCAGTGGATGAAATAAAAAAAGCCTACAGAAAACTTGCACTGAAATATCACCCGGACAAGAACCCCAGTGAAGGCGATAAGGTGAGTTTAGAGAGCTTTGGGATACCTCTGTAGTCGTTTATGGATAGTTGAAAATGCCCTTTGTCATTTCCATTGTACAACAGCAGGAACTTTCTGGAACGTTCTAGTCAAACCTCCGCATGGCAGCGGACAGGAAGGAAGCTAGCCTTCAGACACTGAAGTGCCTCAGCTACAGTGACAGGAGGTGGTGAAATTAATGTTTAAAGTGAAATTAATGAAGATGCCGTTCATTTTGTTTGTAGTCTGTATCCTTATCTCTAAGGGTTCATTGGGCTGATTGATAGAAAGAACTTGGTGTGTCACAATACAAAAAGGCTGCCAATTGCAATTATTAGTTTTCAGTGTACTTTCCATAAATGTGACCATATATCATGAATCTAGGTCAGGAATCATGAAGCTAATGTCAGTCATTACCACTACACGAGATAAAAGTGGAGTGATTTAACTAACGCCTTGTTTTAATTTATTAAAGCCTTAACTGTAGTCCAGCTTTCAAATGTGACTCATGGTTTACATTTTATTTCCCTAGTTCAAGCTTATATCTCATGCATATGAGGTGCTGTCAGATCCAAAGAAGAGAGACCTGTATGACCAAGGAGGGGAGCAAGCAATCAAAGAGGGAGGCATGAGTGGAGCAGCTTCCCCTATGGACATTTTTGACATGTTCTTTGGAGGTGGGGGAAGGATGCAGAGAGAGAGAAAAGGTAAGATATTTTTAGGTTTAAGTATTGTCAGAATAGGCTGTTAGAAGGTTTATAGGTTCTTGATATAACATGTCTTCAACTTTCATTTATCTGTTCATCCTATAGGGAAGAATGTTGTCCACCAGCTTAGTGTTTCACTGGAGGAGATGTACAATGGCACCACCAGGAAGCTTGGACTGCAGAAAAATGTCATTTGTGAAAAATGTGAAGGTATGTGTTGTTGTGTGTATGTGCTTTTTAATCGCATGTCCAGTAAAGCTGGTTCAGACACTGAGAAAATGACTTTATGCTGTTTATTACAGGTTATGGTGGTAAGAAAGGTGCACTGGAGAAGTGCTCAAATTGCAAAGGAAGAGGAGTACAAGTGAGGGTGCAACAGATTGGGCCAGGCATGATCCAGCAGATCCAAAGCATGTGTCCAGATTGCCAGGGACAGGGCGAGAAATTCAACTCCAAAGATCGATGCAAGAACTGCAATGGACACAAAGTTGAACGCAAGAAGAAAATTCTTGAAGTTCACATTGACAAAGGTACCCCCCCCACACACCCACACCCACCCACCCATCTGAGACCATCCGATTTAAAAACTCTAGTTGATAGTAGGTAAGTAGTAAACTAAACTGAAGACAAATGTGTTGTGCAGGTATGAAAGATGGTCAGAAAATTATGTTCCATGGAGAAGGTGACCAGGAGCCTGGACTGGAGCCCGGGGATGTAATCATTGTGCTGGATCAGAAAGACCACCCTGTTTTCCAGAGGCATGAGGATAATTTAATGATGAAGATGAACATCAAACTTGTGGAGGCCCTGTGTGGTTTCAGGCGGACAGTTCAAACACTAGACAACAGAACACTCATCATCAGCACTCAGCCAGGTAACTAAGTCAGCCCATCTTTACTTCTATATAATGCATTTTGTGTGTGTGAATACTTGTAATTCAGATTTAAGTAACATCTGACCTTTTTTTTTTTTTCCCCCCAAACAGGTGAAGTAATCAATCATAGTGACATAAAATGTGTTCAAAATGAGGGCATGCCACTTTACAGGGAACCTTATGAAAAGGGACAGCTTATTATTCAATTCCAGGTAAGACTCGGAATGCAACAGCATGGCAAAACTTGTGATTTGAATCTTTGTCAGATAATTTTGTTGTAAAAAAAAATGTATATATAAAATTTCAGTTAACTGTAATTTATCTTACTGTAATTTATCCTACAGGTGGAATTCCCAGAGAAAGGCTGGCTCCCAGAGCATCTGTTGTTCCAGCTAGAAAGACTGCTTCCACCTAGAGAGGATGTGATGATTACTGATGACATGGAGGAGGTGGAGCTCTGTGAGGTAGATGTGCAGTCACAGCAGAAAAGCTATCGTGGTGAAGCTTATCAGGAAGATGAGGAGCAGGGTCCCAGGGGCGGAGTGCAATGTCACACACAGTGATTGTAATCTCTGATACAAATGCTACTGTATGTGGTAGAGATTTTTTTTTTTCTGAAGCACAAAATATTACCTATGCCTATAAATCTGCAAATTAGTACCATTAAGTCTTTTTCTTTTTTTTTTTTTTTTTAACTGTTGCCAGTGGTAGTTCTTTGACTTCATCACTGATACAAGTTGAGTACACGTTTCACTTTTATTTGGACTCCAGAAGTTATTGAAACTATATTTTTGTGTTACTGTTGCATGTTCTATTTAAAATCAGTTTCTTTTGTATATATTTCCCAATAAATTAATGGTACATCTTTTTTTTTCTCCACACAAGCTCAAAGGACAAAATGTATGCTTTCTGTGAAGGTACTTTTAAGTCATGACAAACATTTTTGGTTATTTCTCAATAAAAAAAAACTTAAATGTTTATATCTTTGTTTTGATTTTTTAGTATTTTCCATCAAGTGTTAAATGTCTGTATACTGACAGAACCTGTTGTTAGTGAATTCATTACTATGTGTAATCAATGACAAAATAAGGGATTTATCCAGAGAACATAATTACAGACAAGTTTTCTCTGAAAGACCCACCTTTGTGAAAGGGAGTATCAGTGTGTGCTTGGCTGAATATAGTGCTGATCTTCTGGTAGTCTACAAAGAAACGGACTCAAAACTCTAAGCAAACAATAATTTCAACACATTAAGCTAAATAAATGCACATAACAGACCTTTTATGCAATTTAATTAAATGAAAACAATAATAATCCAGCTTCTATTGTATTTTCAGTTTATAAAAGCCACTAATGGCTTCAAACAAACAAAACATAAAGATTACCCTGTCCTGGCTCAACTATAGTCCATTTAAACTACATGGGCCATAATGCACAGCAGGAAGTTACGTCACCCATCTCGGCACCGGTCTGCTGCCAGTTTACGGACAGCTGAGGATTTCCAGACGGGGGATCCCGGCTAAGTACGGCCTTTTAGTATAGAAACGCCGGGTTCTGGTGTATTTAAATGGAGAAAACGTACGATTATCTCTTCAAACTGCTGCTCATCGGAGACAGCGGAGTCGGCAAGACATGCCTGCTGTTCAGATTCAGCGAGGACTCCTTCAACACCACCTTCATATCCACGATAGGTGAGTAGGCTACTCCGGAGCCACCCCTTTGGGTAAGCCTGACATAATGCATGGTTATGGCAACGGAATACACTGGTTTATGGCATCACATATATATGCTCGGCCGTGTATATATAGTAATGTTAGTATCCTATACCTAATTTTTTATTATGCAGTACAGACCCACAATATTTAAAGGGCCCCAAAAGCAAGACAATGGGACTGCAAGAAAAATCATAATGATTTCATGTCCTTGAGGGTTCATAGGCTCCAGTAAGGGTATATATATAAATATATATATAGAATGAAATTAAAATTATAGTCACATTGTTTGACCTTAGGAAATTTGAAATGTAAATGCTTTATTAATTGTTATAATATTATTATGTCCTTGATAAAGCTTTACAATATTCTACAGCAGTTTGATTTGTGGTGGCATTAAAAGAGATTCATCTACAACACAGCAAAGGATTAACATATAAAAAAGTTCTTCCAGTTTACAAATGACAGCCACTTATTGCTCAAGTGCCTGGATAGCTGTGTATCCAAGGGATGTGACAATGGTATCACGCTACACATCAGTGCAGTAAGTATCAGTTTATATCAGTGTCTGTGTTTATTTATTCAAATGCAGGAATCGATTTCAAAATCAGAACAATAGAACTGGATGGAAAGAGAGTGAAACTTCAAATTTGGTAAGTGTAATCTGAGCAGGCCTCTTTCCACTTTTTAAAATCTGAGTATCTGTACTTCAAATGCACTGGACCTCATCTATTTGCATTGATGTTCTCAGGGACACTGCAGGGCAGGAGAGATTTCGCACCATCACTACAGCTTACTACAGAGGAGCCATGGTGAGTCTTTGCTTCATACTTCACTACTTCATTGCAGGGCTACATATCACAAGGTGTAAGATAATGTCCATTTTCCCCACAGGGCATTATGTTGGTTTATGATATCTGCAATGAGAAATCCTTTGAAAATATTAAAAACTGGATTCGAAATATTGAAGAGGTAAGTGGAAATGTCATTGTCAGTTTTTTTTAAGTGAAATGAATTTATGTGTATAAGAAAGAGAATTCTTTATATTGTCATTGTATACTGACAATGGCATATTTTACATAAAGAGTTGTTTTTTGTCCCAGCATGCATCACCTGATGTGGAGAAAATGATCCTGGGTAACAAATGTGACATGACTGATAGGAGACAGGTATCCAAAGACAGAGGCGAGAAAGTGAGTCCCTGCAGCCATACCCTTAGTAAAAAAGCAGTCTCCAACAAATATAATGCATTTTTCCTATTTGCACTGAACAGCACTGACACTAGATTGTTTGTCTTGCATAGCTGGCTATTGATTATGGAGTTAAGTTCTTGGAAACCAGTGCAAAGTCTAGCTTAAATGTAGAAGAGGTAAGCAGAAAGTATTTCAACCCTAAAAGCTCCATGTAGCATATGAATGATATTCTATATACAGTATGTACATTTAACATTTGTTTTTGTGTTACTGTCATTCAAGGTTTTTTATACAATGGGAAGAGACATATTACATAATCTGAGCTCAAAGACAGTAAGTACATAGATACAACACTTCAGTGAAGCTCTTCCTTTTTAATACTGCATTTATGACTTTTTTTTTTTACTATCATATCTTCCCTTACTAGACTGACAGCAATGCTGTAGGATCGGGCAAACCAATCAAGATCACAGAGAAAAAGTCAAAGAGAATTAAGCTATTCAAGTGTTCCCTCCTCTAGACTGCTCATCTCCAGTGTTCACGACTCACAGCTAGCGTGACTTTGCAGTTTTAGAGGGCTCCTACATCCTGAATGTCCTCGTAGCAGAAGCAGAAGTGGTCATACTCTACTGCTGCCTGAAACTCACAGGTTCACGAGGGGCTGAGATGCCATATTTGATCTACTGACCAGAAGAGGTTCAATGAGGAATGAGGCCTGATACTGTTTATCTGCTCATGCAAACAAACTTCGGCAGTGGTTTGTAGCTGACCCTGCAGTTTCCGCTCACAGGAGACACTGATTCTGGCATTTCTAATAGCTCCATTGGCTCACATGAAAATATCTCTGACACACAGTTGTCTTATGAATGCACAAGAATAAAAAAACTCAGTCTTTCATATATTGTAGCATTATTTTATACATACTACCTAATGTCATGTTTACTATGCTGATGCTTTGTGACAGAGGCATATCAAGTCTCAATATTGATTGTATTTGTCTGTGAATTTATGTATATTATCAGGCTTATATCTCCATTTGAATTGGCAACATTTCTATTTGTTCATATGTGCCTAGAAGGAGTTACAGTATTGTGATAGAAAAGACAAAAATATGTATAAACACAACCTATTGTATTTGTTTATTTTTTTTATGGAACCTTTATTTATACAGGTTTTCTATGTAAAAATGTGACTGAATGGCTTGTTTGTTTCTTGGAAACTACTTAATACATATTGTTTTTGTCAGTGTTTGCATGAAAGCTACAGGGGCACCTCTGAGCAGTTCATTATTAAGCACATTTTACAGTATTTGAAAAAAGGTTTACAGACTTTATATAGACTCTATATAGAAAATTTATGTTTTTGTTCTTCACATAGTATATATATATGTAAACACGAGTAACGTCTGTATAAACTTTATTTCCACCTTAAATTGTAGGGAATCCA